GGTTTCAGCGATAAATCCCACCAACTGGATGACGTGGAGCTTCCCAGCGCTGCTACTACATGGTAGTATTTCAAATCCCCATCACGGACTTGTCGGCAGGCGAAGTGTGTTCAGTCTTCTGAAACTTTCTCGAAAACGTCGGGGTCACCAGTTTAGAGCCGATGAATGGGAGTCGGAGGCGGTGTGTTCAGTATGGAACTCCACACTTTATTAACACGAAACATTCAGACAGGTAAGACATTAGCTTGTTGCTTTATGGAAAGCTAGCATGAATGAACAACAACCCCGGTGCCCTCACTAACGGGTCTGGGTTGCAACACACACAAACACACGGTGAATTATGTCCTATCACGTGGCACCACAATAGCACCTTTCATGCATGGCATTCAGCCCAGTTTCTTGTCAGGCCGATTCAGAATATACAGTAAGATGAACACGTCTTTTTTTTATTATGAAAAACACTTAACATTACTTTTTTCCATTTTATTTTTTTTGCAATTATAATTTATAATTTTTTATGAATATATCTGGTTGTATATATTGCTAATTTTCCATAAAAGAAACAAATGTTTTTCAGTTTGTGTTTTATTTGAGTTTGTTGTATACAAATACTGTACTGTATATGATGATTGTTGAAAATGCACTTTTACCATAAAAGGCCAGCTCGACCAGTTGGTAGAGGCTCATAAAAACAAAACTGTGTGGTCAGTCAAAAAAAAAATGTGTTTGTGGTTATTTGTGGCCCATTTGATAAAAACATGCAAACAAATAATTGTTCCATTATCTTTTTTCTTGGTCTGGCAGTTAAAGGGTTAATGTGGATTCAGCAGATTCAGCAGATCCGCTTCCTCTTCCTGGGATGGTCATATGACCGTCAGAGAACACACACACACGCGCGCGCACACACACACACACTTTGTACTGTATGCTCCACAGCAGTCTGTCTCTTCACTACCCGAAGGTAAGAACTCTTGCCCGGCACACTTTGCCTCCTCTCTGCCACTGAACCCGACCGATAACCTGCATGAGAAACATCATGTGGACTGACAGCAAATGCATTGTTTTTTATCTCTTTTGACGAGGCCAAAAAACATTGAATTTTGCTCGGATTTTATAATATAAATAATGTCTAGCTTGCATTTGACCTTTGATGGCGAAAGATGGTACACATAACAAGAATACGCGCTTGAACTGCTTGGTGCGTTTCGCCTCGAGCATTAATGGAACATATCGTCTGTTTATACCATGTCGTTTTGTTGATCTGCTAATATGACTTTCATTTCGGGGAACTACTCCCCAAAAATGTAAATAAAACACATTATCTCTTAAAGCAGGGCTGCGTGGTGTTTGATATGACAGATAATGAACAGGGAAAAAGTGAATGAGAAGCTGTATTAATCCATTAAAATGCTCTTTGATCATCATCATTAAGTATGCTTAATTATTTATTTTTTCATATTCTGGCGTGCTTTTGACTTGGGAGGGTAAATGTAATTCGTTGCAATGACTAGTTACCTGTCTTCAGTAACCTAATCTGAGTATCACAAAATAAGAGTAATGTAACCTGATTACTTTGCACTACTTTTGGATTAGGTCATTATTAAATGCATGATTGTATTTGTCTGACACATGTTGCAACAATCCCTGATGTCTGTTGCAACTGTCCCAGGGTTGGTTTTGTTGCAACATCTGACTTGTTCCTTACAAATACATATTTTGAACAATCTTATATGTACAATCATCCTTAACCCCTTTGGGAAACAAGCAAACATAGGCCTATGTACATTTATTGTATAATAATGTGGTTGGTCAAGACGAAGAGTAAACTGAAAGAAGAGCAAAGAGTGTTGCATCATTCCCCAGTGAATGGACCTGAAACCAAATAGCACCTTACTTATTTACATCAGTGAGTTTGTTTGTGTTAAAGTTTGACTGGTGAATCCCATGCAACTCCTTAAAACACCAAAACAACAACAAAAACAAACATACTTATCGATACCTGTGCCAGGATGTTAGATTTTTACAAAAATCTTTGTGAGATTGCGCTTCCTGACAACCGAGTCTAACCTAACCATTCTTGTAGGCTGTTATTGCGACTTTAGCAAAAAAGGCTGTACTGGTTTCAGCCTGCGAGGGGCGGGGGAGAAACACATTGACATCCACAAACAAATTCCTCCCACTTGCCATTTATCAAAAAAACAGGCAGAAATCCAATGCAGTACCAGTTCCTCTGAATCAATGGAGGGGTTATTATGGTGAAATTGTGGTGGTCCTTCAAAATTCTTAACTTCAATAACTCCAATAGCCAAGTTAATTTAGACAATCAGCTGAAGTGATGAGGAGGATGTTGCTCACAAATACTGTTAGCCCCTGGGAGTCTTAAAACATCTAAAAAAGTCAGAAGCTGACGTTCCTGCTTGGAAATAAGGAAATCTTTAGACCACTTTAACCAGAAGACTTCAAAGCCTGAATGTTTTGTTAAGTATTCTTTGGTAAGGCAGAAGAACATCATTCCTTCATCACAAACGTCTTTTTGGTTCTCTTTAAAGGAGCCATGTCTGCAGTGAAGCTGGAGGAGTTTCGAGAGCGGATTCGTAAAGAACTGGACACCACAGTGGACTTCTGGCTCCAACACTCTCACGACCCTTTGCATGGGTATTGTATCTCCACTGAAATGCTGTTCAAAGGAAAATAGTGTACGTCTGTTTGCATGCAGTGTGTCCTTGTGATGACCTTTAACCAGTACGTTGTGTTTCAGAGGCTTCTTCACCTGTTTGGGGAGGGATGGGGAGGTTTATGATGAGCTGAAGTACGTCTGGCTGCAGGGGAGACAGGTAAGACTGTGTCATAAACAAGAAGTCCAAAGATTGGTCGATTGATCCCCAACTATTTTAATAATCTTTAAAGTTTTAGTTCCTGTGAGACTGTCAGAAAATGCTGTTGCCTCTGGAATATGGAGTTTTCCTGCTACTTTTTTTTAATTTTCTGAAATTGTTCAGACTAAATACTAACCGATTACTCTAGGAAATAATTGGCAGATAATGAAAATAATCGTTAGTAGAAACCCTAATCCACAGAATGAAATGCAGTCATTAGATAATGTTGTATGAATCTTTTGTCTTTTTTCACAGGTGTGGATGTATTGTCGTCTGTACAGAACAATGGATCGCTTCCATAGGCCTGAAATCCTTGAAGCAGCAAAAGCAGGTGTGTGTGTGTGTGTGTGTGTGTGTGTGTGTGTGTGTGTGTGTGTGTGTGTGTGTGTGTGTGTGTGTGTGTGTGTCAGAGAGAATGTATAATCTCCTATGAAATGCTTTGGCTAGTTTTCTGTCCTCTAAGAATGCACCACTGAATTGTATAATAATACACAATATTATGCCATCCTTGGAGAATACAAAAAAAACACTGTTCAAAGAAGAATATCTAAGAAATTAAGAAATGATGTGTTCGCAGTTCAGACTGAGTTACAGACCCCAGTATGGTTTTACTTTCCTTAATATGGGTAGGGGGACATTAAGACATTAGCTTAAGTTAAATGGGACCTCCATGTTCCACACATCTGTTCACGAGTATATCTGTGTACCAGATGGCGCAGCGTGGCGTTCTTTTGTTGACCGAAGTGATTAATGACAGTCGGGATGGTGTTTTCTGTGTACTTTCTGCTAATCATAAGAAAAGCAGTGCCAACGTGACGTCACTGTTGGATGGATCTGCAAGGTGCCATCTTTATGGGAACTTGGAAACAGGAGCACTTTGTATTTGTGACACTATGAAGCTTTCAAAGAGTTTAACAGTACATTGTTATAAGTAGGAATAGCACACAATGAAGCATGGGTTCATTGAGATCAAAATATGAAATTCAGCAGCAATATATTTAGGACATTTCCACTATTTAGCACCTAAAAAGCCCAACTGTTGATTGTTTAATTTCTAGTTCAACTAGATGTGCAGCATTTTCAAAAATGTCCTGTCTAATCAAACGTTGGCAAACATTCACCTGTTAAACCTATGTCTAGATTACAACATGTTAAAGGTCAAATGTGTGAGATATGCCAGAATTGAATGATGAGAATGTTGAGATGCCAACTTTTGGACATACTGTACATTACATGAGTTTAGGAATTGAAATACTGCCCCCTATTTCTTAAGGCAGGTGGCTTGGAACTACACCTTTTTATAAAGGCTATATACGTGTTGCTCATAATTATGTGTTGGATCATAAGCTCTCTGTTTGTCTCTAAGGAGGAGCATTCCTGAGGAGGTTCACTCGTGTCCCCGGCGCCGGTAGTGGCCAGTGGAAGTGTGCCTTCTCCTTAACTAGAGACGGAAAAGCAGTGAAGATTCAGAGGACTATTTTCAGCGAGTGCTTCTACATTTTGGCCATGGACGAACTGAGCAGGGTTACTGGGGACAAGGACATGCAGGTACAAAATAAATATTAAACTAAATGATATATATAGATTGAAATTGCTTGATTGAATAGAATGTGGATAGAAACTTCTTTAACTTATGGTAGTGCTAGATGGAAGTCTGGAAATCATTCAAATTGTCCTCTTGGGAACATCAATGGCTGAACCAAATGTTCCACATTGTGGTGGTGACAGGTCAAAAGTAAAAGCATCACTAAAGTCCCTGCATTGATACGCTGAAAATAGATGTTGTAACTATAGAGCGGTGCAGGGATGATGTATTTCTGCAAGGCGACCCGGAGGTCAGTATATTGGGGCTCCCACTACTAATCTGATTTTTCCATTGGATATCATTATATTGCAGAAATGAGCTTTGTGGCCAACAGACGTTTATGATACTTATGTGCTTTGTTCAGCAGGATCGTCTCCACACATTAACACCACTGTTAGATTGCAAATTGCCAGAAGTAAAAAGCTTGGTAATGCTATAAAACAACTACTGTACGTTTAGTAGTCCTGTTCAGTTACTTGTTAGCAACAACTGTTTTTAGAACGCATAGAAGCTTCAGACATTCACCAATGGGCTGATCACTAGTGTATTTTATTTCGTAGCACAAAACATAAAAATCTCTTCAGCTTGTTTTAACCATAGACCTTGTTTCAGGTTTCTGACAACAATCATGTTCAAAATAGTTAACTTCATGAAGAGGGAACCAGAAGTGGTAAAAGTCATTTCTGGGTTTTAGGACTCATTCCTGCACCACTCTATTGCATTTATATAGATAAATGTTGCATTACTGAGTCGCCACCAGATTTGTTCGAATCCATACTTGAAGTGCCTCACAAGGGAGTCAGGAGCTGATGCATTGCTAGCTATCACTCTGTACCCTGCGTACACAGTACACCAGAAATCAGCTGACTTTTTGTACCCTGTCACCCTGCCTGAACATGCTTATCCTTTTCTCCCGCACCTTTCCAACAACACGATTGCACCATCGCTGACGGTCTCTGTGTTGTGTTGCTAGCTGGAGGCTGAGCAGATGATGGAGCAGCTGATCAGCTGGGTGCGGGAGGACCCGGCAGGCCTGGGCCGGCCCCAGCTTCCTGGAGACGTCCCCACCAACAGTATGGCAGTTCCCATGATGCTGTTGTGTCTGGTGCAGCAGCTCACTGAAGGCGGGGGGGCAGAGGTCGTTCAGAAGTACACAGAGCTGGCCAGCTGGTGTGTGCAGCAGATTCTACAACACATCCAGGTGTGGAACATGCAGCATGACTGATGCTCTGTGGTTCAAATGTCCTCAGATATAGTGAGAGTTAGTTTGTGGTGTAGCATCCAAATCAGCATACAGTATACCAACACAATGAATAGTGTGTGACTCTTGTCTCAACCACTTGGGTTTAAAGCATTTAGGGCAAAGTTAGACAAGAGAGTAGCACAGAAAAGTGCTGCTAGACTTAGTCAAGTAGTGACTACCACAGGGCTGTTGGAAAGCTACCTTAGCTGGTGAGCTAACTGCTAACAACTTTCCACGCCAACACATTTTATGTCAAAGTTCACCAGACGCTGAACTACATATTGCCACAGAAGTGCTTTGACTCTGGAGGCTAGCAGATCCAATGATTGTAATGATCAATCATGAACAAGTTTACACTTCCGGAAAAAATAATATACTAGGGTGGTGTGCACATTAAAATACTGGGTGCAAAATGCTGTTTAACATTTGATTGCTGCTGGATGGTGGACCATAAAACATGGAAGTACTGTGGATGATATTTTTATAAACAAAAGAACATTCTCAATATATTACAGGTCAGGTTTATCAACATCAACTAAAACATAATCTCAATAAGGTTGTCAATTACTTTCATTATTTATGAATCTACATATATCAATTGCTCCCTTTTTCTCATAACATACGAACAAATCAATATGGATCCATCATAACAAATAAACAAAACAATCTGTTAATTTTAAACTTGAACATGTCATGTCAAACATTTAAGATATATACAAGTGTAAAGTCCATGTGCGTACTCACAGTGGTTTCCTTTGTTCTACCTGCAGTCTCTGGACATATGGGGATTTTAAACAAAGTTCACAGCCCCAAAAAAATACCCAGCCTTCTTTCCTTTCACTTTTTCAAGTTAACTTATTCTCAAAATCCCATTGATTTGACATTACCATCGCTCAGTTTAAAATACTAGTTTGACATAGTCATAGCAATAACATATATATATAACACTGACAAAAAGTACACTGCTCTAGCTAGGCCAATTCTCCACTGTTCATCTGTATACTCATTATGTTTCGTACAATTATTAGCTCTTCTTAGATCATAAATGCCTAATATGCTACTTCAAGCACAGCTCTGTTTAGCTCTGCTAAAGGGAAACTTGAAATGCAGCTAAAAAACTGTATTTTTCGCAAGGTAACAAACATTTTATCTTTTAAAATCAACAAAACAGTGATAAGCAAACATCCATGTAAGTCAAAACATACTGCTGAGTAATGTCATATTGTAGAGCTTGTTTTTTTGTTATTCTCATTCTCACTACTTACTTCACTTTGACTCTATTTTACAGGATTGCAAGTATCTGATTATTTAAACAACTATATTTGTCCTACTCCTGTAACTAACAGAGAAGTGGCACAGCTATTTTAGAGAATGTGTCTGTGGATGGAGCAGAGCTACCAGGGTGCCAGGGCCGGCTGCAGAACCCAGGTGAACCACAGGCTGTATACTTCCAGCTCTGCCAGTGAAGGCGAGGGGAGCTTGGGTTGAGATCTTTTCCTGACCTCAACATTTTCTGTTTCTCTCCCCCACACCCTGGCTCAGGCCACGCCCTTGAGGCCGGCTGGTTCCTGCTCCAGGTCAGCGCCCAGCAGAAGGACGAGGCTCTCCAGAGGACGGCCATCGACAAGTTCATGGAGCTCCCCTATCAGAACGGCTGGGATAAAGAGCATGGCGGCCTCTTCTACTTCCTGGATGTTGATGGTCACTGCCCCACACAGGTGAATCACTCATCTATACCTGAAGACGTTTTCCACCAGTCTATTAAACTCTGGTTTGCCACCTCAAGATGTTTGAATGAAAATAGCTTTTATAGATATTAGGGATGTAACGATACCAAAAACTCACGGTACGATAATATCGCGATAATAAGTCCACGGTACGGTATTTATCGCGATATTGAATAATAAAGGGGGGGAAAAAAATAAAAATGTTACTCGGAAAATGTTTCTTTATTACATAATACATCTGATTTGTACAGCATTTTAGTAGGATAGCAGTATTTTAAAGTGTCAAAAACAAAGTGACAGTAACAGACTGGAACAAGAAAACCAGTGTTTTTGTACCTACTAGTACTACCAAACAAAGTAAGCATTTTCTTTGTGCCACTGCATCTCACACATAAACAAGGACATTTAATAATCAGACCCTGCAATAAAATAAATCAAGTTTCACTTTAGTTTTTCAAGTAACTCAACTCAAACTCACTAGTCACTCACTCAGCACCATCAGACAGGTTTTTAGGAATATGAGAATGTCCACATTTCCAGGTATTTATAAGCTGGGATGTTTGGGCATTTACAATATCCCCTGCTCTGGAAAAAACTCTCTCGCTTGGTACTGATGTTGCAGTGGTCGCGTTAACCGAATATTTTATTTAACAATGACGGAAAAATCTGAAAGCAGTCTGTCATTTTGACAGATTAGAACAAACTCGGAACAGCGCCAACGTTTCCCCGCAGCCAGGCTCTGGTGTTATGCCGTGTTATGCATGCCCTCCAAAAGGAAATGATATAGTTTCCAAACCGTACTTTGCCGTACAGATCAATACATGTCTGGGAGGTTTTGCTTTACGCTGTGCGCGTCCCGCGAGGTGCATGCACACACGGCATAACACCGCCCCCCCCACCCCCGTTGACAGTTCATGAGCATGCTCTATCGTGAACTGTTCAGACCCGACGGGTAATAAGGGATTATGACGGATATTTTACGATCCTGTCCGTCAAAAATGACGGGCAGCGAAAAAGTCTAGCGCAATCTCTGGTTGACACGTACGAGCAGTTTGACTTGATGTCATGGTGGATACATAAAA